GTCCGTCTTGATGGCGGCCACCGTGCTGCTGATCGAGTCTGGTCCAGTGAACGTACTTATGTCGCCGATGATGGTGACGACGTGATCGATGCGCTCGTTGAGTTGCTTCGTCACGTCTGTCGTGCAGCCTGGCGCTGCTGAGGCGTTAGCCTCTATGCTGTTGACGCGTGTGATGGTGGAATTCAACAGCTGATGTTGTTGCTGCTGCTGCGTTGCCTCTGTGCGGATAGCAGTTGTTAACGTAGTCATATCTTTCTTGTATGTTTGTCGCTGCGTCGCGTCCGTGCGCGGATGTGAATGCAACAGTGTATTATTCCACATAATACCTCTCATAATGCCCAGCAACAAGTTAGCCAGGTTACTTCTCTCTRCCTCCGCCGGTGTCGGGTCTGCCTGCGCTTCCGTAGGCACAAAGATCATGTCTTGGAGTATCGTCGTCCACTGATGCTCACAAGCAATCAAGGACTCCGTGCTGCTGGCATTCCGTCTGTCTCGTGTCGCTGCGTCAGTCTCAGTCGTTCGCTGAGCTTCGGCTGCCGCTTCATTGGCTAGTCGCTGACGTTCTGCCTCTGCTGTCTCCTTCCGGGCCTCGACGGCAGCTACGGCTTCCGTAAATGCCAGTAGCCGCCCACGATAATCAGCCGCTGGCTCATTGGCTCCTCGGACTGGGTATGCGGGATGATCTCCGGTGGCGTCTTGTACCGTCAATGCCGTACTTGATGYTGCTGGAGTCGTCCGCCTGTTGAGTTTCTTCGGTCTTGGAGGTACTGCAGGGCGGGCACGAACTGCGATTCTGGCACTGCGTCGTGGCAATGCCCCAGGGTCCTGTTCCGTCGACATCAGTCTGAACCGATGCGGTACTTGAGAAGTCCCGGTAATCACAGAACACGGGGGGTAGGGAGAGTGGGTAGGGAGAGTGGGAACAGGGGTAGAACAATCAAGCAATATACATACAATCCCCTGTCCCACTGATGGACTGTAGACACCTAATCAAACAGGAAAAAATAAATTTCCCGTAAACCCTTCGAAAAAATTTGTAATAAGGAATTTATAACGATTTCATCAATAAAATTAATTAATGATAATTAACGAAATAAATCCGAATGATAATCAGTAAACAATGTTTGTAATAAAGATAACCAATTAATGATAATCAGTAAAACAATGTTTGTAAATAAAGATAACCAATTACTAAACGAATTTGAAAGGTATTATGATTAGGTCTCTTTGAGATCACTATGAGACCGGGAGTTCTCCATTTAATAAGTGAACTGCCCGGTAGTTGCAATTTAAGGTCAGATACGGCTTAGTGTGCTAAAAAAAAATTCGAAAAATTTGAGAAGAAAAAACAATCGAATTTTCAAAAATGCGAATTTTCGGGAATTCCCACCGTCAAAATCCGATTTTTAAAAGCCTAAACCTATTTTCGGAATTTCTCAAACAAGGAGAACGAAAAAAAAAATTCGCAAAAATTTCGGTCCCAACCCTAATTTCCGCGTTTCGGCGAAATTTCCGGATTAACGGTCCCAAAACGTTCGAGTTTCCCCAAGTTGATCTAAAACCAAAAGATTTTCATAACCCTAATTCCCATACTGAAAGACAACGGAAATCTCAAAAGAAAACGAAATATAGGATTTACAACAGAATGCCGAAAAACGGAATGCTGAATGAAAGTCAGAAAACCCGAATTTCAAACATGATACTGATTCAACCCTAATTGCGAATTACTTAAACAAATCCGAATCAACCAGAATGTTGGATCAGTATCAATCTCTCGGATCTAATTAAACAGCATACCGTGTACAACAGAAATCCGAATAATGAATTGAAACGGAAATGCTGAAATAGCCAGAATACAGAAAAAAAGAAAATTTGCAACTTTGAACTTGATAATACTTCAGCGTCGATTTAGAAGATCAAACATGATAACCTAATTCTTAACGGACTTACCTGGTGAGCAGATCCGTTTTGGTCTGCTCCTATACCAAAACTGTTACATACTTCAACGAGTATGGGCAGAACCAAAGATCAACCAATATAGGATGAGCATTTATGCAGCGGAAGTCTGATAACGAACTGACTCACATAGACTAACTCACATAGACTGATCTACATGGCATCACTCCACACACATACAATCATGAGATGGTGGGGTCTGGGTCATTCATAGACGATACCCAGATCCCGTACACACATACACAGATGAAAGGTTGGAGGAGAGACGAAGGAGGTAGGAGGTAGATCACACCGATAGGTCACAAGATAGAGTCTGGTAGGTCTCCGAAATGGTAGTCAAGAATGTCATATAACAAGATCAAAATGTGGAGGACCAAAGGTCACCAATGTCGGAGATAACCGAGTCCAGATGTAACCGGTGTCCAACTGTGATGCAGCTGAGTGTCAACCTCAACAATCTCCAAGTCTCCAATTAGGTAAGTACCACAGTCTCGTATCACCGAAATCCAACTCTGATCTCTGTCCAACTGGATAGTCTCCAATCTGAAGAAGAAGAAGAAAAAGAACAAGAAGAAGGAGAAAGAGGAGAGAGAGAGAGAGGGGACTGGCCACGGAGAGGAGGAGAGACCCTCCAAGCTCCCGGTACCTCAGGCGGCAATGGCCGCCGTGCTGGCTCAGTCGCCCTGCTGCTGCTCCGCTCGCTGCTGCGCTATGCTGCACTCCTGCTTCAGCCCCTGCGCTAAGTTTAGCGCATAAAAAACAGTGCACTGGCACTGACCATGCCGTGCCAGTAGAGTTCCGGTAGGCCGATCCCTCACATGAGGCGGATATCGGTACTTATACCGGTGGGCAATGGTCTGGCCTCAATGCTGCAAGGCCAGGCCAGACCCTGGACCGTCCAGATGGACGGTTCAACCTCAATCGGCGGGCGGCAACTTCAAGAGCGCCGCCAGGCCCAAACGAAGTGTCGTTTGGGCCTACCCGATGGGATTAGTCCAAAATCAGGCCTTTAGGGCCTGTAACCCCAAAGGTCGGGCCTTTAGGCCCTGGTGTGTCCCTCCGGCCCTAAGTCGCTCATACAGAAAGATGAGAATGGTAGAGAAAGGCCTCTAAGGTTTGAGAGCAGGACTCTCAACTCCACAGAAAGAGGTTACACCTAGTTCAGGAAAGAGTTACTGGCCATTATGCACTGTCTAAGCTGCTTCAGACACTATGTCCTTGGAAGTCGATTCATTCTGAGAACTGATGCATCTGTTGTGATTGGTGCAATTAAGGAGAACCAACAAGTAGATCCAACAGTAAGCAGATGGATAGCCTTCATTTGGACTTTTGATTTTGTTTTGGAAAAGATTCCAACTGAGAAAAACAGAGCAGATGGCCTAAGTCGAATCTAATGGAGGAAAGATGAGGAAAAATAAAATATTGAAGGAACGATTGAGGAATCTTCTTATGTTGATAATTTTCTGAATGAAAAGGATGATGAAGATTATGAAGTACCAAACTCCTATAAGTGGAGTTTATGGCCTGAAGAAGAGACAGCTGGGGAGAAATTCCTATATGTCTATGAATCAATTCTCAGAAAGGAAGAGGCGGAAGAACAAAATCACAGGTATGCAAGGATCAATGCAGCAGCTGTCGCAGTCTATGAGATAGGGGAAAGTTCAGGCTCAAAGAATGAAGAGGAAGGTGAGAAGAAAGAGGAAGAGATATCATTTATCTTTGAAGAGTACGATGAAATTTACCAAGAGATTGGGAAGAAAATGGAGAAAGAACGGCTGAAGGAATATTATTGCAAGAATTCAAGGAAAAAGTTTAGACTAAAACGAGGTCACCTCTTAGTGGATGGTAAGGGAGGACTACCTCCACCAAAAGTGGTCTGTGGTAAAGAGAGACAACTGGAGATAATTGTTGCTCTACATGAAGGGGTTGCAAGTGGCCACAGAGTTGTTGAGACAACCTACTCTAAGACTGTCAAACTCTACTTCTGGCCTGATATGAGAGACATGATTTTCAGATTCTGTAAATCATGTGTGTTATGTCAGAAGAGGTCGACCACGAGAATGATTGAACCTTTATTTCCCACTATCCTGGTAGAGCCAGGAAGTCGAGTTCATTTAGATCTCATCACCATGCCATTAGGCAAGGGTAGGATGAAATATATATTGAGCATGAGAAAAAATTTCTCTGGATATGTCGAGGCAAAAGCTCTGAAAAGGAAGACAATCGAGCAGGTGGCTGATTGGATAGAAGAAGTCTATCTCAGGTATCCTTTCATCAGAGAGTTTGTCTCAGACAGCGGATCAAAGTTCAGAAATGAGATTGTAAGGAGGACCACTCTCAGGTTGGGTGTCAGAATTCGATATGAAACTACCTATCATCCTCAAGCGAATGCACATGTTGAGAGGGGTCACAAAACTTTGAAAGACTCATTGGCCAACTGGTGTGAAGGAAATCTCGGTAACTCGCCAAAAGTACTAAGACTTGTTGTCTATGCTGACAACATCACTGTCAAGAGGACTACTGGTTATGCTCCATTTACCCTGTGGTATGGTCGATATGCTACCTTGCCTATTGAGAATATAGTCAAGACATGGTCAAGTCAAGAGAGTTACTTCAGATCAGAATGAGACAAATATCAGAAGTTGATCACGCAGTGATAAATGCTGCAGAGAGAATGACATCCAGCAGATTATCAGATCAAGAGAGATGAAATAAGAAAAGATATATAAGAAAAGAGAAACTGAAAGTTGGTGACGTTGTCCTTCTATTCGATAGTTCTCTTGAGACTCAATGGACTAAACGGTTGGAGCCCAGATAGCTTGGTCCTTACAAAATTACAGGTGAAGCAGAAGGCAAAGTCTATGAGATTTCAGAGATGGATGGATCCAGGGTACACGACATGGTATCAGGGTCAAGACTTCGTAATTCATCTTCAGGGACCCTGATCTGATCCCTACAGTGACCTCAAAAAGAAGAAAGAAAGGTCAACCATCCCAATGAGAGAACAGTTCCAAAGAACTGAGAGAGAGTACAGTAAGACAGTGAGACAACAAAACTTGGTTTTCAGCAGACTCTGATCATTCTTGCGTTTGTCAATTCAGTATTTCAGTTTTCAACATGTCAGTTCATTTTCTGTTTCAGCAAGTAACAGAGTTAAAAAGACAGTTTCTTTGATGCAGAGCTAAAGTCGGTCCATGAGTGTCAAGTCCCTGAGAGTGGGGAGTAACTGTGAGATACAGTTGCAATGAGCATTGGCGCAGTGGCAAGATTAGAGAGACTCATGGTTGTGACACATCAAAAGATGTAATCAGTATTATTTCTATGATAAAAGAGAAAAGCATGATGGGCATAAAGAAGTTCAGTTCTACCTGATCGAGAGAGGTCAGTAGAAGAGCTTCGTGTCTTTTGAGATTCAGATGAGGACAAACATAAAGAAGTTCAGCTTTACTTGACCGAGAGTTGTCAGTAAAGGGACTTCGTGTTTCTTGACTAAGTTGCCTGTCTTCACTCAGATGAGGGAAGGGACCTCTCTGAGATCAACATTTCAGTAAATTCCCAGATGAGGGAAGGGACCTCTCTGGGGCCAGCACTAAGCAATTTCTTGAGACTGGAGGGATGTCTCTTGCAAGTGCTTGATGCTGGTTATCATGTTCTTGTTCAGTGCCTCTTGAGACTGAAGTGACGTCTCTTGAGAAATGTTTGTCCTGTTATTTGGGGCATGGGCAGTCTGCTTGTGGGGTTTTACATGCTTGCTTGATTGTCTGTGCCTGGGGTTTTCTTCACTAACCTGAGATGTCGTTGGTTGTCGGGGCTAGCCAGACCGCAGTAGGTTGCAATCTGGTGGGGTCAGCAAATCTCCGACGTGAGTGTCGAATTCTGTAGTTTGGCTGAGGCTAAGGCTCCGGGGGCCTGGCCTGTGAGGTCAAAAGGGTTCAGCCGGAACCCTACCGCAGTCAAAGGATGCAATCCAGTAAGGTTTCCCAGAGCCTTGAAACGTAGTAAGACCGGGTCCTACGTTCA